CGGAGCCGCTGCCGTCACGTCACGCAGCACAACACGCACTGACATTTCATTTAGGAGCAGCATTTCTTTTATTTTTTTTCCGAAATCACCGCGAGACGCTCAGCAACTTAACGGGTTTTCCAGACAACTGAACTTTCCGTTCAGGGTCTTCCAGCCCATCATTAATTTTTTCCCCGTCTCATTGAATGCTCTGACAATCGATAAAGCGACGACCACCGCTCAGATCCTAGACAGCCAAATGTATTTACCAGCAGGAGCGGGTTCTGTGTTTAATTAAATCAAGGGCCCTGATCAATGTTTGGGATGTTTAGCCGCATTTTAACCAAATCAGCTGCCCAGCAGCTTCTCCCGCGCTTCCCGGCGGATCCGGCGCCTGGAAAGGGACAATCCCGGCGCCGGGGGGTTCCATAGGGCTTGGTAAAGGGGATGGAGCTTTTCCTGCTGCCGGGGTGCGCGTGCATGAATGGATTTTAAGGATTTTATAGCAAAAGGGGATAAAAGGTGGGATATCCTTATGGATGTTAAGGATTTTAGATATCCTTGAGCCTACTTGTAAGTGTGACTCGAGTAGAGAATTGGATTTAACGCAGAGTGAAGATGCAAAGAGCGACGTGACCTGCAGCACACGGGGAAGCAAAGCAATTCCAGCTGCAGCAAGCCCATCGGAAATCCCGAATTATCCCTTTTTCGCCGGGGCCAGATGGCCCCATGGGGCCCTCCCGGGTGCTTCCCGAGCGGCGTCTCCATGCGGAGCCGGCGCTTCCCAAAGCCGAGGGGTCCCCGGGGAGCCCCCCTCGTTCCTATCGCTCCCCGGGAACGGGGCTTTGCCCAGGGAAGGAATGGGAGCAATCCTGCTTTTCCCAGGCAGCAGCCGCTCTGCTCTGGGAGTCGGTGGGGAATCGGGGTCGGTCCGGGATTCTTGGAGAGCAAGAAGCATGGAAAAACATGGAAAAGCTCCTGGAAGAGTGGGAGCCGAGGCAGGAAGTGCAGGGAGAAACAGAGCAGAACAGCACAAAGTGCCACC